TGAAATTTTTAAATACCGGGCACTGTTGGTCACCAAAATTTCTTCCAGTATTCGGAGGTATCCACTATTAAGATGGGGAAATAAAATTAATGCATATGTCATCGTTCAAAATATTCTGTCCGTTAAAGGAGGTTTTAGTGTATAAAGAAAATAACAAAAACAACAAATGTAACATTTTTTTGTATATATTCTTTATTCACATTGATAAATATTAAGGTACCTATAATATTGTATTATGCAGTATTAGGTGCTTGTATAAATTGAATATTGTTTAAACATTGACGTCGTTGTTATGATAATTAATTATATTGATTATAATATTATCATCGTAATCATCATCATCCTTCGAGAGTTATAAGATGCATAAATCGAAAAAATAATAACAAGCCGAGATATTATGTTGTTTTGTCGTTGTAAATCACCTCATGTTTCGTGAATGTTAGGTCATTATAATTACAGAATAACATAATTTTTAGATGTCACCAAGAGTATTATAACATTTTAGTGATGACATCAGTCATAAAACCACACCAAATAAAACGTCATTGTTCCCTTACTRATATTTACGCAAGCGTATGATACACACATATAATAATAAATTGTACTACGTTATAATATTATTATATTGAGACGAGGGTGACTGGGTTGTTATTGGAAGTTAATAAAAAAAAGATTATGCATTGATTGAGCCACTGTAATTTTGATTTAAATTAATTTTAAATTACGATTGATTTGAGACACAGTCACGAATTCTAATGAATAGGTATATAAGAATATAAATGAAAGCATGACGCGCGTCTTTTATAATCGGATTGCACTCTTTCGCCGCAATTGATCRCTCATCTGGACGTTTCTTATATTTTAAAACTGTTGTGGTTTAAATAGTTTGTTTTAGTCTTTCATCATTAATTATTATAAAACGAGTAATTACAAGAATTATATATAATTTGATATGTACCTAAGACAAGCATTATTTAGACAATTATTTTTACGTTGAAAAAATACAGTAGGTGTAAATTTTATAAAAACTTTCTTTTGTTTGTCAACGAACGTTTCACGTTTCACGCTTCATCATTACACATTATTTCCTCGT